GTGCCGTCCCCACGGTGAGTGATAAGCTCTGAAACCATTAGCAGATAGCATATGAGAACTATCTCTAAATAACGGCCACCGGTTTATGGTTTTTGTCAGTCTTATGTCCTTCTTCTCTAATATAGTTTTACTGTTTTTTATCGAAAGTTTGGTTTTAAAAAGTTGGTCCAAATGATCATCGGGAAGAGTTCAATTTTTTTTTTTTTTCAATATGAATTTAAACCAATTCAAATAGGTTGATATAATAGAGAATAAACTGTATTTTAATTTTAATTCTAAAATATCTCTTAAACTGTTAAGTTTAGTATACAAATTTGTACACTAAAATATTTTAAAGAAAATTGAGCTTGAAAAAAATTTTTTTTATAAACCTTTTATTTTAATTGTTTGTAGAGATTTTTCAAGACCCAAGTTACATGACACACCTGTAACTATGATGTAAAATACTCTATATAATCTGATTGAAAAGTATAAATTTACATGATAGTTAAAAAATAGGCTATTTTATCTATACTTTTGAGGCTCCAGCCTACGTCGCCGTTTTTCTAATTTTAATTGTCACTTTGTACAAATTTGAATATGAATTCAAATATCACTTTGTAATTAAATGCCGATTTGTACGTACGAAATTGAATGTCCTTTGTGTCAAAGGAACCGTTATTCGTTTTCTTATTTGATTTCTATAATATAAACTTATCTTTTACTATATCCGGATATAACCCCGGTTATAATCGTTATCCTCTTACTTCAATAGTATATAAAACCGGTTATTGGATTTTACAAAGGTTATAATCCGTGACAATAATTAATAATCACAATATCGAGGTGCCATTTAATTTGCATTAAACGTTAAATTCATTTCCCCAAAAAGGTTGGTCCGATTTAGTTAACGTTGGAAGAAATCGTCAGGAAAATATAAACCCAATATCATTTATTATACAGAGCTTTCTTTTGAAGATCTTGAGATCTGACATTATAAGAGCCATTATTTCAATTTCCATTCCCATAAAGTATCATGAATTTCTATTGGTGATGCAGGCAGATCGTCTCAATGAGTTATAACGGCACTCGGCAAGTTAAGGTTGTTACAGCAAAATCATAAGATCCCCATTGTGCCGTAACTATAACATTTTTAAACCGAAAAATTTTTTTCGAACTTATGATGAATCCTTCAAAAATATTAATAGCCCAGTAAGTTCTTATCAAATCAAGAAAAAATATATAAAGTTACGATGAATTAATTCGACGGATTAGCACAACGAACCCAAAGAATTTTACTCGAGCTTAAAAAAGATTCAATATCAAGAACGTTCCAGTTGGGTATACAACAAGTTCCGTACGACGTCCTCACTATTTTTTACGGGTCTACATTTTATTATTTCTAGTACACTAGTTTTACTAATTTCTTAGTAGTAGAATCGAGGGTCTGGTTAATGAGTTGTGACGCAGGTTGACGCAGGTTCATTAGTTTACGACAAGAGACTATAGCATAGTGTGATCGTATAAACAATCAATACCACATCATCATGCTATTAATATTAATTTTCATTTTATTTAACATAAATTTCCCTTCATATTATATCTATAAGATTTAATCAACCCTTTACACTGTTTATACCGGGTGTTTTAAAAGTTCTAAAACACGGTCCCCTTTTTTTTAAGTGACCTTATACATAGAGATCATTTATGCAAATATAATATTTGCATAAATAATCATCGTGATCTCTATGTATAAGGACACTTAAAAAAAGGACCGTGTTTTGGAACTTTTGAAACACTCAGTATGTACTTTTTATATATGAATATTGCAATGATTACGAGGCTTTTTACTCACCCGATATATGAAAGGCGGAGCTTTAAAATATTTCATGCGAGTTGACTAAATACATTCTCTTTGCCATGCATGTGACCACACCACACTCTCATATAAACTCATACAACGTCAACTCTGACCTGAAAAATTATTTTGCTCACCCATCTCTCCTCAAACATGATCCAGTTTACAGGGATCGACACTTTACGTCGGTAGCATGTACGAAATGCGGAAATGTGAAGACTTCTAAAGAACTTGGTGGGACAAAATCTACAACTGCAAAAAGAACGGTTTGAGAATCGATCGGGATCATAATGGCGCACCTAGGCACCTGATTCTGCCATTAATTCATAATAATATTCCTCTTCCGACTGAACAAAACCTACACAATTTATGTAAAATCTATTACAGAAGATTTTATATTAATTGTATGTACAATTAAACAACTGGCAGGCGGGATACAGTAATATAAATTTATGTCGATTTTTGAATCTGTCTCCCGTAAATGTATGGAGAGTTTCTGCTAAGCATGACTCAAATCAATTCAATATGTACATAATGCCTCTATATTTAGTATTATTCCATATATTATTGAAAAATATCGTGTTATTTTAAGGAAATATGGCACAAAACGCGTAGTTTTCGTACAAATATAGACACGCATGTAGACAGATAAAAAAGTTTCTCTATTCACAATCCTTGAAGTTGCAAACATACCAAAAAAATTTTTTTCTGATATGTTTTTATCATAATCTTTTGATTATACTTTTTTTCACCTAAAAAATTGTTCATTTTTTACATTATTATAGCGAATAAAATATGAGAAAAAGGAAGATAAGAAACGTAAAGCTTTGAATATATAACAAACACCGGCAATGGACGCCTCGTCTAGTTCATCAACCTCATCTATTTCATTCACCTTTTCAACATCATCCATCTCACAGGTTCAAAAAAAAGAAAAGGTTCAACGCTTGACGTCCAGATAATTCAATCCAATTAGAAATGTTGGTATATAAGCAACAATTAAAAATTTTTAATAGCAAGATCACTGGAAAGGCAATATGGTTTACATTTCAAAAACTCTTTCTGCACAGTCAAAAATATTTACCTATTTAACTTTTCTTGCAAAAGATCATTATTTACCCAATCCTCTCACCAAGCTATACAAATATGGGCGTCAAGTTGAATACTATCTAGATTATTAAATTTGTTTGGTATTACAGTGCTTGTTGATATTTGAAGCAGTGAATATAGAATTGAAAATTTTGGCATCTGACCTGAAATTTCTAAAGTGTCCACAAATATCTAAATGATGCCCAAATTTGTACTATATATTTAGTTATATATCGAAGGTAATCCAAGAGGAAAATCAACTAAAAATGGTTGTAAATATTATCACGAGTTCAGCTCCTATTTTGGGAGAAGCCAGATTTATTTTTGTTTTTTTGTTTTTTTTTGGCTTAGAGAAATCTTTAGTCAAAGTAATACAAAGTCTATGTTTACAATGCATCAGTGATTACGTTTTTTGATTAGCATCTTTAGTTGAACTTGTATTAAAAAAACTTTATTGCTACCTGTACACGTGACGTTAGGTTACAAAAATGATTAAACTTATAATGTTTAATTAATATTTTAAATATATAACAAAAACTAGAATGTATCTGCTATGTTATATTAAATTCTATTTATGCCGAAAATTTTGCGCTATATGATCCAATCAGATTGCTTAAAATTATTTTAAGACATTTTTATTCAATTCTACAAACTTTTAGAGGAAATATCCTCTTTAAAATTTTTAAAAAAGCATTGAATCAGAAAAAAGGCTGATTTAAACTTCAAACGAAAATTTCATCGAGCTTGTCCCGGCAGTTATCAAGAAAATTTTCAACAACTACCAGACAAAATCGATAAATTTTTTTTTATAATAATTTTAATTCTACAGATTTGTAGAATTTAAATAATTTTTTTTTTTTAGGACGATTTTAGCGCTCATTAGAGGTGGGATGCTATATCTCAAAAACGTACTAAGTAATTAAAGTCAGTAAGTCTAAGTAAAAATGTTCAGGACCCCGGAAAACTGATCCTAATCTACATTATGTTAATTAATAAAACTCCTCTTTTATTTTAAAACTGCACCCTAACCCTAAAAATTATTAAGGATGGTGAATTTCACCGCCGGTGAATATTAAATAAATTCTTTTTTTTACTGAATTTGATCGGTAATTATCGAGAAATATTTATTGAGTAGCGTTGCAGCTATGTTTAAATTCTTTTTAAAACTTAATCGAAATAGCTGCCCAAAAATTTTTGGATATTTTTAAATGATGCATAGCACCCCTTCTATATATCAAAATTTACTAGGGTAATTCCTGTTGTGCAACTATTTAAACCCAATCCTACCCTAACTCTAACATTTACTTTAACGTTATACTTATTTGGCTATGTATTAAAACGTGGGGGAGTACAAAATACATAAGTGCACCATTTAATTTTTTTAAATTTTTTATTTCAATTCTACAGGGCAAAAAATACCGTTCCTGATGGCTGGAGTGAAAAAAAAATCGATTTACGTATCGTTCCTGACAGGATTCTTACAGGAACCCGAAGGTAATTTTTCATGACGAAGCTTAGTTATAGTGCGAATGCTAAGTCCCGACCCGTGATTACTACGCTTTTCAAATTACTGTGTCCATCAAATGATCGACCATCACACGGAAATCTTCAAAATTTCTCAAATTTA